CGGGGGAGGATCGCGTTGGCGGGGCCTGCTTTGGGCTCGCTGGGTGCACAGAACCGCTCGCCGTAGGCTGGGGAAGGGGGTGGTGGTGTAACAGCGGTGTAAGGTGCGAAATTCGTGTGGAGATTGGGGAAAAGGCGGGTGTGTTTCAGGCAGCTGCATCCAGCTGCTGGAATATTCCTGCGCTCCACGGCGGCGGTGCGGTTTGTACTGTTACTCAGCCTTTTAAGTAGCCATCGCATACGCCCCTGCCGCGGCTAGTCCCGAGGCATCAGGCGAGGCCGCTGACAGTTTCTGTTACAGGCACGGTGGGTCTCAAGCTAAAAGGCCAGCCCTCCCAGTAAGACAGCAACGTCGTTTGTTGTTTTACAGCTATGGGTCCTGTTTGTGCATAGCCCGGCTGCAAACACAGGTTGCATGAGCTCGTTAACAACTGTTCTCTAAATTCAGAAGTTAGGCCGGTCTTAGCCTTAATTGTGAGAAGTAGCGACAGCTGCTGTGGTTTCCATGGAGTGTATTTTCACCTCTGTGTCGTTTGCTCCCTTTAAGCTTCTACGAGGAACTTCTGTCTGAGGGCATCCTGCAACCGCTGACTGCGCCCATTGAAGGCATGGTAGTGAAAGAAGGCTCCTGCAATTACATGGCGCCCCAGGGCATCTCCTCCGTGGTCAAGTATTATTTAAAACAGTCGGGTAACTTTTTAGGTGCCTTTGTATGAAATGAAAGGTTTTAATGATTGTTTCTGATGGCATTCTTAACTGTCTTTCAAATGTGAATCTCCAATGGGAATGTTCAAGTTCCTTGTTTGTTTATGTACGTCTTGAAGTTGGTTAGGCAGACAAACGTGTCTGCGAGCTCTATAAACTTCCAGCTCCTGCAGGCGCTTCACTGACTTCAGCTGCGCTGCTGGCATGTAAAAATCTTCATATAAGCACAATGTCTGTAGAATCAGGGGCCAAGCTTATACTTACACCATTGGCTTTAGCATGTGAAATTAATGCAGCCAGGACAGGGATAATGTAGTGGGAGTGAGATCGTGGTTGAGGAGAGATTTGAGTGGCAACTTGAATGAAGTGAGTGTTTGGGTGTTTTTTTCACAAGTGTGTCCTTAAGTTAACTGTGCTGTTTGACTGAACAACTGGGAGCCGAACTGGCGAGTTACATCCTGCGTTTCCTAGAAATGGGCGTGTATGCAATACGTGAGCCTACGGCGCTGAAAGTCCCTCAGAAATGACTGAAGGAGAAGACCAGCTCTGGTTCAAACGGTGTAGCTATGGCATTAGGTGTGATGTGGCAGAACTGCTTGTACAGTTTAGTGACCAATTTAACTCTGGTTTGAAAAACGTTGGCTTTATGAGCAGTCAGGCTTTGCTCCTATCACACAACTGTGTCTTTTTTTTTTTTTTTTTTTTTTTTTTTAAAAATTAAAATGTTTTTTAGACCCTAGTCTTGCAAATAATAACTACGTTCCTGTCTTCTGCTATGTGAGACATGTTGACAGGGGCAGCGCTCTTATTTTCAGCTCCTGGGGGTGTGCTCTGACTGCTTACCCTGTGCCGCCTCCTGGGCTCGTCAGGCTTGGCTCTGACTTGGTTCAGCTTGGTGAAGCTGCAGTGAACTGACCTGACAGAGAGAGCAGCCGGTAGCTCACCTTCCGTTTACTGAGCTGAGTCATGCCAGGGAGGAGGCAGGTGAATACCAGCTCTAGCACAGGGGAGTGATGGGATCCTTTCAGCTGATGAGGATCCCCTCTTTCAATGTCATATGCTGCCTGTTAAATTGATTCAACCTGATTTGTGAAACCTCGCCCTAGGACTGCCTGCATGCTTTGCTGTTTGCAAGTCATCCAGTTACTGAGGGAAATGACTCTGCATTTTCTCACTGCGATTCATTGCTATGTGTGTTTAACTTCTTTTTCCAAAGCAGGCGCAGATGTCTTCTATGAACAGCACGTAACTCACATCTCTCTCAGAGATGGGAAATGGGAAGTCTCCAGGAAAACGGGACCGCCGGAACAGTTTGATATAGTTATTCTCACAATGCCTGTTCCACAAATTCTTCAGCTGCAAGGTGACATTGTAAACAGTAAGTTCATATCTCAAAATCACGGGTATCTAGCCTAAAATGGCAGTTGAGCATCTTGTATAGCAAAGAAACACTCAACAGTCTGAGCTGTCTGTTAATTTCTGCCAGAATAGGGTGAATCTGAAAATGATGGGAGGTCGGTAATTTTGAGGTTGTATGTGTGGTGCATGAGCAGTAAATACCTTGATAGGAAAAGTACCTAAATAGATGAGTCGGTTTTTAATCTCATCTTTAATTTTTTGCTGACGTCTGAAACAGGACTTGTCTTTCTGTAACTTGAAAATAGTTATTGAATCGCACAGGAGCCTCTGCTGGTCCCCATGTGGTGGTTTCCTGGTTGTGCTCTCTGTCGACGTGCTGTGCTGATTTTCAGCGCTGCCCCTGGTGTGTCTGCAGTAGGGGTGACCCAGAACAATGGCTGCGCGGTAGGGAAAATCCCTGGGGCATTTCAGTGAGCCTAAAACCATGTGAAATGCAGTGAAGGAACAAGTCCAGATCGGAACTCTTTGGTCTCTAGTTTCTAAGATGAAAGCCTTTCAGACCCTCTGGCTTGTTTGCTGTTTATGGCTGCCCCCTGGGGGCTGCGTTCCCCGAACACGAGTAAATCTCGATTATCCTTTGGTGATTTATTGGGGTGAATGTGTTAGCAGTGCTGTGGAGGCTTAGAAAGAGCTTCTTGGTGCTGAGAAAGAAGTGTGAGTTCAGGTCTGGAGAAGTTTTCTGGCTTAGGTGCGTTGTCTCAGGTGTGAGGCTTCCAGGGCCAGGTTTTCTCTGAAGTCAGGCTGATGAATCCTGCTCACCCACGCTCGCTCTGTGCACGGCCAGTGCTGGTCCACAGCGGCTCCCAGCAGCGCTGTTTCTGGGAGGGTGGGTTGGGGGAGGTGCTGCTGAGCCTGTGAGCAGGTTTGGTGTACTTGCCATGAGGCTTCATCCTTGCGGAACAGCCACCGTGAGGATTTACAGGGCAGAGATCGTGGCGTAGCTCTGCAGTGGTGTCTCTGAGGGCTGGTGCTCAGCAGAAGCCGGGAAGCCCAGCCAGGCCTGTGCTGACCCTGGCAGAGCCACCTGAAGTGCGCGGGGCTGTGGGTTTATCCCCTCAGCTGCAGTGTTGTACCAGCGACGTGCTGCGTCTGGCTAACAACCTCTCCTTGAACTTGGCCTGCTGGCAGCAGCGCGGGGACATCCGTGTGGCTCCAGTCAGCTCTGGTCAGACGGGGCTTGTTGCCCCTCTGCTGCCGGCTCCTGAAGTAGATGCTTTAAAATTTGTGGGTTTTCTCTTCTCTGGTTTGTAGAAGAACCACCAGTGCTTGAAAGATCAAGAGCTGACTTCAACGCGTGGCTCCTTGTGCTCTCCTGAATCTTGGATTTTAATGTGTAAATACGTGAGTGTGATTTGGAGGGTGGCTGTTAAAAGATGTCACAGCAACCGATGGAGGTGGTTGGAGCGAGCTGCTAGGGTCTAGCTGACGTTGCTTCACCGTAACCAGGACCTGTAATGAGGGAAGAGGATGAGGTGGGGGGAGTGGGGAAGAGAAGGGTAGGTGGCACCAGGGTGCTGGACTGCAGCACAGTGTCTTACGGTAGCAAAGGGAAGACTGATGTCTGATCGCGCTAAAGAGAAGTATTTTTATTATGACCTCCTATTTTAACCTTTATGCCTAAAGAGGTAAATACCCTGTAAGAACAGGACTTCTCTGCTATTTGTTGTTTTATAAGTTTTCTCATTTCTCCTGCCCCTTTGCTGTGGGAAGTAGTGGTATCCCCACTGAATTTTCTTGGTTAGTGAGTGTGGTCTTTCACTTCGTACTCTGAATCACATGAGCAGGGCAAATGTACAGATATCCTTTTCAGAATTATATATTTTCCTTTTAATAGCCACATGTGTACTGTTCCGCTATATGAAGATAGAATAAACTAATGTTAAAAGCATTGACTAGTCACAAACTGAAGCACAGCTTTGCAAGCATTGGGAAATAAGAGCAACTGCAGCGGGCTGGGCCCTTTCCCTGTCTGCAAGGAGAGAAATCATCTTGATTTTTCTTTTTTTTCTTTAGGCTTATTGCTTATATTGCTCCTGGAAGGGGAGGTTCCTGCTCCTTGTTGCAAACTTCCTTCTCTCTGTCACTCAGGAATCATTTTGCTGCTGCGCTGGTGCTGCAGCTGAAGTGAGGGATGTGCAGAGTTGGAGGAAGGGGGAGGGATTTCTCCTTCTAGCAACTACATGCTGTGTGGCCAGCTGAGAGGTCACAAGTAACTGCTCTGAGAGTGTGGGCCAGGGACTTGAAGTGAAGGGGGGCATGATTTGGGAGGACAGCTACCTTAATTGCTGACCTTTAAGGCCTTTTGTTATGTAGAAGACATTTACTGAAGCTAAATGAAAGACGTGGCTTGGCGCCTTGTGGTAATATTAATGTCAGTCACTGTTGCGATTTGTGATCATAGAGTCGTCTAGGTTGGAAAAGACCTTTAAGATCATCACGTCCCACCGTTAACCTAGCACTGCCATCCCACCACTAAACCATGTCCGTCAATGGAGCGAGCTTTGGCCGTTTCCCCAACAGCCCTGGTGTTGGCTGTAACTAGCCTCTGCTGCGCACCCTCCTTTGCGTCAGCGTATCATCCCTACCTTGACAGTGTCTTAATCGGAGGTAGCTAGTCTAAAGCTCTCCCATATCCTCCATAATGTTCTTCCACTTCTCCTGTCTGAGGTTGCTCTCTGAGATGCCTTTTCACGTTGGTTTTGCTGCACGCTGGAGCTTGAACTGCAAACTGTGGACCTGTGCCAGGTTCCATTTTAGCTACTTAGGTATAATTGGATCTATCAGTTCAAAGCCAAATGAAGTTTTAAATGGATTTTGGTGAGGGGTTGTTAGCGTTAATGTATGGGTAAAGGCTGTAAAGTAAGTGAAGGTGCAAAGGAACAGCTGTGTGGAGTAGGTGATGCTTTGAGCCCTTAGTAAGCGTTGGAATTAGCCTTTGATATTGGTGCATAAAGAACCTGAGTTGGCCAGTTCCAGTGACTAGCCAGAAGGGGTCGTTGGCAGGAATTCACCGTTTCCCTGTGTGAGCCTTGAGATCAACTCTGCCGCGTGGGTACCCCTTAACTGTCTGAATATTGTGTTTTTAAGCAGTGGCCCCATAGATGGTTGCCATAAACGTGCGTTATGTTTCTCTAAGAACAGAACAGTTTGGACACCTATGCCCATGTTTTCAGAGCTGTCTCCTGGAATTTAGGCTCCTCTGTTTGTAGTTAAGTGCTTCAACGAAAGCATATGTAGGTGCCTTTGGGTCCCGTGGCTGATCTGCTCTTCGATTCGCAAAACATTTGTGTCTTTATTTCGATGTCTTTAGGACACCTTTATTGAGACACCTTTAACATCCTGGTGCAAAAAGCAAATGATGAGGCTTATCAGTTTGAAACAGACCAAAATTTTACCTTAGTGAGGTGACTGACTAGTTCTGGGGTTTGTGTTCTGGCTTTAAGAACGGAGACTACTGACAGGGGAAATCACAGCCTACTTGAAGGGAAGTCTTCTTTTGCCTCCCAAGGTTTTTGGAGATAACTTTCATTTATTTACATGATACTCAGAGAATTAAGATTTTGAAATAATGACTCTCCCAGATTTTATGTTTAGTGGCAAAGTTTCCATTTTAATACGTAAACTCTGCAGTCTTTGTTGGGCTGATTTATTAGTTTGTGTCTTTTTCCTGCTCTTTAAACTTCTAGATGAGCCTTAATATTATGTCATCGTGAAGCTGTATACGTTTAGGAGGAGACAGAATTAAGTGGCCTTTGGCAACCTAGAATTTTAAATGGACTGTGTGAGAAATGGCTGTTCCAGAATTACTTTCTTATGAGTGTAAAGCCAAAACTGAAATTAACAGAGAAGTTAGTGTGTATACATACCTTCTTTTTTTATATATAGATATAAAAATGTGTATGTCTCTATGTATATAAAGTATTTTGTTCTGTTTACTTGTATTCTTTTGTTCAGTTTGTTTGTATTCTTTGAATTTTACCAATGTTTAAAGGGGGCAGGGAAGGAAGTGGCTTGCCTGTGGCCAATCCTTGTAGATTTGTTCATCTTGGTTCATCTTCATTTTCAACCTTTATTTACCGCTTCTACAGCTATCATGCCCAAATAGGCTTATCAGGTGCATATTCAACAATAGCAGAGCCAGAAGTAGTAATAATGCTGCTGGAAGTCATAAGGTTTGAATTCTTTTAAGCTAGTAAAGCTGTTGGCTTGGTAGTCTGTGAAACGGGCATTCTTAGGGCTCTGATACCGGTGTCTGGTACAGTGAGTCTGCACTGATGTGGTTTGGTTGGGTCCCATTCAGAAATTGTAGGTGTCCTGTGCTCACTTGAAGTTACAGTGGAACTACCAATGAAAATGAATCAAAAGAAAAACCCCATCTTTTTGCAGCATCTTTGTCCTCCCCCTGCTTTCCTTTCTTTACATAACGTGCGGTGTGTGAAGAGTTAGTGACTTTCTAAGCTTTCAGAGCACTGGCGTTGGGTTCAGGCAGAAGGGAGGAGGCTTAGCTCCTTGCAGCATGTTTGGAACAACAATAGGTGGCAGCAGTCAAATGGTGTTTTCACCATTTCAGCTTGAACAACTAAATTAAATTTAGTGCACTTACTTGTATTTGGGGTCTACATATTTTGGTAGTAAATTATGCAGAAGGTAAAAGGAAAACAAATAAATGTTTCTAAGTTTTGTAATGTAAATTTGGTTAGAAAAGGAACAGATTTTCTTAAAAGCAGGTTCTTTGCAAATGAAAGGACGAGATTTTGCAAATGTTCATCATCTAATGGTATTTCAGACATGCTGGACTGTGTTACTGGCTGCTGATGTTAGAGGAATCCTAGATGTATATACCAGATTCCATGTGATCACTAAGCAATAGAGTCCTTCTCTGTGCATTTTCAAATCAGATTGACAAGCTTTTTTGTTGGTTCTGTTTTTTAGTAAGACATCCGGCAACATGGCAATTAA